TCTGATGAAGGCTACCTTCACATTCAGCTCTGGATGCTGTCAGGTACCCTTTAGAAAAAAGTTTCTGATGTGTTTATAACTTATATTTTAGGGGAGGGTGAATAGTGCTCCCAGAGCCCCACAAGCTGTGGGTGACAAAGTTAAATGAGGTGAATCCCAGCATTGGGTTCTTCCATGGGCTACAGGAGAAACTGAGAGAGATCTCAGTGCAAATGCCATCCATTTTTTACAGTGACTGCTTGGCCATCACATCAGCTTTCTCAGCTGGGCTCCCCAGATTATTCCAGCATGGAGTCATGATGGTCCTTGAATGATTTGACAGTATAAATGATGTCTAAGTAGGTCAGAGGCCTGGGTATAAACATTCTTTTAGTATTGGTTTGTATCTTGAATTTCTAAAGAGCTTGAAAAGTTTGCAAGTCCAAAAGTAAGAACATTTGCAGGAGCAAGCACATATTTTAAGGTTTTATTGAACTGCACTCAGTAAAGCACCAGGATGACACAAGGTCTTGAAAGAGTGTTAAAGTTTTGTCTCAGATAAAGTATTTCCTCATGGAAGGTACACAGATGACCAGGTTATATGGGAAAATATATGGTTTACAAGAAAAAGAATAAGTCAGAGCAGGACATACTGTGGTAGAGCTCAGAGATGGATGTGCTAGCAAGCTGAAAGAATGGTACCTTCTGTGGGAAAGCAGTTACTCTTAGAGAGCAACCACAAAATTTAACCACATGGATAGTCAACAATGTTAGAAAACGAGTTTCAGCAAAGAAACTCCATGAAATGCCTTTTCCAAAAGTTGCAGTGAAATGTGTGTGCAGGCAAGGTTTTTAAGGCAATTTCACCAGAAAGAGGCAGAGCAGATAGGGGTTAACAGCTTCATTTACTGTGTGATGTATTCTCACGAAAGGCACTGTCAGCCCACAGACCTGACTAATCCCCAGTGTGGTTACTAATTGCTGCCATCCAAACAGTAGCTGGCAGCCATTTAATTTTCCCTTTCACTTGGTGTCATTAACATTAGTGACATATGGCTCTGTCCCTGCCCCAGCTCGGTGGCTACCAGGGAAACCCATGGCCTGAGCTTTGCAAACATAAAAGTCCATGATTAACTTTCAGCATCTTGATGGTGTCATGAAGAACTGTTCACAGATCTGGATCCTAAATGCCTGCAAGCTGTTGGGTTTTTTTCTGGGCACAACTTAGAATAGCAGTATAAAGGTACTTTTAGATCTTTAACTTATACCAGGCTGATGCACAATAAAATTCAGGTAATAGGGGAGATGTAGCTTGAAACACATTACAGTATAAATTAGTACTTGCTACTTTGCTTTTTTCCTTTCTTTTTCACTTTAATGTAGTTGAGCCGAGAAATTGTTTATAAGTGGGATTGCATAAATCTTCTGAATTACTTTTGTATCTTTTCACTTGACTCAAAATATTAGGTCAAGATTTCAGATACAGATCTCAAGTGTTTCACTCTCTGCTATCTGTTCTTACTAGACTTAAAATTCCTTTATCTCTGCTACCTTATATATAGGTGCTACTCTTTTTTGTATGAAAGCCACACAATACATCTCAAATCCCACACTGCTTTCCTCTAGTTCATTTGTTCATGTCTATCTAAGCTCATTAATTTTAAAAACTTTTTATTTTCTGCTGGCCACATGATTACTATGCACTGCAGAATTTTTGGCATTCTGCTTTCAGATAAGATCTTCAGGATTTAGTATCACAGGCATTTCAGACCCTGTTCAGATAGCACAGCAACCATAGTGATGATATTTTAAAGATTGAGTAATTTCTGGACCTTGTGTCATCTGGAAACAAAGTAAGACAAAAAACAAAATCTCAGATCCTGGTGATTTTTCTTGCTAGGAAGACAGCAAGTCCCACAGAGGACAGTAGAAAAGCTTTGGTGACTTGCAGCAAGTCTTGAAGAAGAGTATGTAGCCTTTTATTTGTAAATTTACTTAGCCCTGCTCTGAGTTTTAAGGTTAAACAATTTAGTGATGCAAAAGGGTGACAGAGCAGCTGACAGAGCACACTCTGGTACTACCTTTCCTCATCTGTGCCTGTGCTGTATGGAAGCTGTGCTCACCTGAAGTGACTCTGCTGGCCCTGATTCCTTCTGGAGGGTCCCTGGGAACCCCATACTGCAGAGAGCCATTCTGCCAGCAGCCCCCCAGATCTGCTTCCCACCCTGCATTCTTACTCAGGGTCAGCCCCTGCAGCAAGAAGTTCACTTTTCTGCAAGGTAACTGTGTGCTGCAGCACATGCCACAGATGAGATGGCCACAATACACAGAGAAACACAATTTCAGAAGGTTTTAACCACCAGCCCATAGAGAGTAACACCACACCACTTCAGAAGGCTCCAAACACCTGCTCTTTATTGCTATTTAGCCCAAACTTTTATCCCCCTCATGTTGATGCACTGCCCCTGTGTGCCCTCTGCTCCCTTGTGTGGTTGGTAGCACACCTGGGCACTCCCTGTCTCATCACCTTCAATGCTGCTCACCTCATTTTCACAGCTGTACCCACTGGGGATGAGGCTCAGCCACAGCCCCACTCCCAATCACCACAAACTGTGTGCCTACACTCATTTATCTTGTGTGAAAGCCATGCTGTAACCAACCAATATATTTTTCCCATAGACTTTCAGCATTGCTGAAATTCCTGGGAGTGCCTTCAGTTGTGTGTGTTTTATTTTACCAAAGGTGAAGAGAAATGCTGCTCCAGCTGAAATTAGTGCTCCTCAGACACTGGATTTTATGCTGCAGTTAAGGTGAGCAACAAATCCTTGGGACCAATCTTGTGACCTACCCACTGCAGAAGCACAAAACATAAAGCAGCAGCAGGGTTTCTATCCTGTTTTTCCACTTTTTCTGGAAAGATAATTTTATTTTTTTCATGTAACTGATTACACAAGGTGCTTTGTTTGGCATCCTGGTGAGCAGTGGGGCCTTTGATAGAAGCACCATAACCCACTTTCCTTCCTCCAGCTGGAGCTAAAATCAGAGCAAGGCTCTGTACGAGAACAAAGGGAAATAGCAAACCTGTCTCCGTTAGCAGAGCATCACAGAGCTCCTCTCCTGACTGCTCCAGCAAGGGTCTCAAGTGACATAAAATGAGCAAATTGAACCATTTTTGTGTTAGCACACAGTCACAGCAATGACACCAGCCAGGGGTGGACAGAGAGCTTGCATGATGCAAAGATCTGACTCTGCCCTTATACTTGCATCTCTTTTCATGAGGTGAATAAAAGCTGAGTCAAACCTGAATCACAGTGAGCAGGAACTGCAGTAAAATTACTGAAAAAAAGTCACTCCATGAATTGAAAGAAAAAGAAAAAAGGGCTATCTATTGGAGTCTGAAAAGTGGATCAATAAGGACAGGAACATCTTGTGCCAGCCATAGGAAGCCCTGTGCTGGGCTTTGCTAGTTAGAGAAGAGGAGGCAGAAAGGCAGACCCAGGAGGGAGCAGGAAAGTGAGCAGCGCCAACCCCAGAGATGCCAGGGAAGCAGAGGATGATCCGTGCCTGAGGCAGTCACACACTTCATTAGGAATGAGTAGTTGGACGTTGCGGGGGAGCAGGAGACAAAATTCGGACTGAAAGGCAAGCACCGAGGGAGAAACGTGCATAATTCTGGGGGATAAGAATAATTTGGGTCAGGCCACGAGTAAGGTGCTTTCCTATCTCACTGAGCAGGTCACTGCCCTGCTCTGGCCATGAGCTGAGTGGTGCAGGGCACATCCTGACTGTGGGATCCCGCCTGGCCTGGGGGATACAGGGCATCCTCAGCACATCCTGACTGTGGGATCCCGCCTGGCCTGGGGGACACAGGGCATCCTTAGCACATCCTGACTGTGGGACATGGGGCATCCTCAGCACATCCTGACTGTGGGATCCCACCTGGCCTGGGGCACACGGGGCATCCTTAGCACATCCTGCTTGGGGGGATCCTGCCTGGCCTGGGGCACACGGGGCATCCTTAGCACATCCTGCCTATGGGATCCCACCTGGCCTGGGGCACACAGGGCATCCTCAGCACATCCTGCTGGTGGGATCCTGCCTGGCCTGGGGGACACGGGGCATCCTTAGCACATCCTGGCCATGGGATCCCGCGTGGCCTGGGGGACACGGGGCATCCTTAGTGGTCCAAGGAGAGGGGAGGTGGGTGCAGGCCACCCTACACTCCTAACCATCCTGGCTATCCTCTCAGCAGCCCTGGGAGGATGAATAGGTCAACCAAACACAAATCCAAAAAAACCTAGATTTTCTTCCATCTCCCACCTAGGCTGAATAGCAATCATTATCATCTACAACCTTAAACTCACCCTCCTCAACTTCTACCTATACGCTGTAATAACTGCGACCGTTTTTCTCACCCTAAACACAATGAAAGTCCTAAAGCTATCTGCCCTAATAACGGCATGCACCAAAATTCTGTCACTACTCCTAACCCTGCTCTCTCTCGCAGGACTCCCTCCTCTGACAGGATTCCTGCCCAAATGACTTACCATTCAAGAACTGTCTAAGCAAGGCACAGCCCCATCAGCCACACTTATCTCCCTCCTTTCCCTGCTAAGCCTGTTCTTTTACCTTCGTCTCGCATATTGCACAACAATTACAAACCCCGCGCCGCCTGGCGCTGCCAAGGACAGGGACACGGCTGCCAGCAGCCAGGCGGGGATGCGGGCCAGCATCCCAGGGCAGGGCTGGGGAAGGGGGCATTCCATCCCGGAGTCTATCGACAGCAGAGGTTCCAGCGGGGGCTGCTGTGTGCTCCCCAGTGCGGGGGTTTTGGGGCTGCCGGGACGCAGCCGGAGGATGCTCCGCGCTCCCTTCGCCTCGCCGGGGCTGGACCAGCCTCGGCAGCGTGCGCCTGCGCTGCCAGCCTTCCTCCCCCTGCCGCCGCTCCTCCTCCTCCTCCCCCCGCTGCCGGCCCCTCCTCCCGGCTCTCCGGTGCCGGCTGCCGGGGCCGGCGGGGCCGCGGTGCGCCGGAGCCCCGGGGTTATGCGCAGGGCCAGGGGCAGCCCGCGGCCGGGGCTCGCAGGTGTCCGGCAGGAGCGGGGGGCGCTGAGCCCCAGCAGCAGCCCCGGCCCCGGGAAGGGCTGAGCGGGGGAGGAGGACGAGGATGATGATGCTGATGAGGATGCTGAGGATGCGGCGGGCCGGAGGGTACCCGGGCAGCGCCTGGCTGTGCTGCTGGCTGCTGGGCTGGCAGGCGGCCGCCCTGCAGCTGCCGCCCTGCGAAGAGGTGAGATTTCCCGAGTGCTCTTTGGGTTTTCCCCATCCGTAAGGGCGGCTGGGGCGCACGCACCGGCTCGGGAGGAGGGTGGTATTCCAGCCAGGGGTATTCCTGGCTCCCCAGAGCTGCCCGGGGGATGGCAGAGGGGTCAGACCCACGGGGAAGGATCCTCTGCGGCCGAGCCCCCCGCATCACGAGCAGAGCCGCTCCTTGCCCGTCGGTCGCGATCCGCTCTCCCCACTCGCCTTGCCCGTGGTGATCCCTGCTCCTTTCAGTACATGGAAATAGCAGAGTCCTCCCTCCGAACCAAGGGAGCTTGGCCGGCCTCGCTGTTTTAATAAATACCGTGTTGGATCAGCGCAAAGGTGGAGTAAGGGAGGGATGGTGTGTGATATCCCGCCCGCCCGGTGCCAGCTCGGTGTGTCCGGGGCTGAGCCGTGCGTGTGGCATGGCGAGAGAAACTTTCTGGCTCCGTGCTGCTGCAGGAACCCGAACCTGGAGGGAGCCGGTGTGTTCGGAGAGGGGACGCTCCGCACGGCTGTGCGGGATGCGGGGCCGGACAGGGATGCGCAGCCTCGGGTGATCCCTGAGGTTTCCCGGGGAAGGGACCTGGGCTTCATGAAGGTTTTTTCCAGGGTTTCCAGCCTTACTCCTATATGCAGGGAAATCCTCTCTGCTGCTGTTAAAGAGCAAGTGGGTCTTTGCTGTGTTTTAAACCAGCAGTAGAGGTGGCGAGGCTGGGTATCACCATCCTAAACAGGTCTGGGTGGCCGGAGCTCTGCTCAGGCAAGCAGAAACCTGTGAGTGCATTAACAATGGTCAGTCCTCTTCCTTTCTAACCCCCTCCTATCTGAGGATGCTCTGGGACCACAGCTTCCCCGCTTTACCTCTTGCAGTTGCACCGTTTAGCAAGAGTGAATTTGTGCATTTTCAGAGTGGGCTCGGGTGGGTGACTGCAGCCAGAAGGGAGCACTCGGCTGGTGAAGGGTCCTGATCCATGCTTGGAGGTTATTGCAGCTTGGGACCTCCTTGGCTGGGGGTGCAGAAGACCTTTCTGTGGTGAAGGAGAGCATTTCTGACCTGGGGAATATTCTCTCTTTGCCTATGAAATTTCCTTGTTGTCTTCCAAGTGGCAGAGCTCAGCGCTAGCCTAGCGTGGGAAATCTTGCATCAGGGAGAGGTGATGTCTGGCAAATCAGTGTCTGTTTTGGGCATGTTTCTCCTAAAATGTTGATCATCCTCAGGGCATGTTTTTCCTAAATGTTAGTCATTCTCAGAGAGAGGAATTGATGCAGCCACCTGCTTTAAATTACCTATCTGCCTTTTCAACTAGTGAAGGGAAACAGGTACTTTTAGAGCTGTTTTCATCCTAAAGTCTTTGCATCAAAAAAATGAACCTCTGCAGATGGTTAAAGGTGAGAGCTGAACCTGTGCAGTGGTACCAAAAGTGTAAAGCTGGTATTTTGAGCATCTTGCACTGGGATTTAGGTGTGCAAATTCTCTCTGGAGCCCCACTCCTGTACACCTGTGGATCTGGACCTGTTTGCTTTTGCTTTCTTTTCAGAGAGGCTGACAATGTGTTTTACTTGAGTTGAGTGCTCTTTGAAACAGAGACAGCCTCACTCACAGGGTTAAAAAGCTGTGTGTTTCTTGTGCTGGGGTGTGTGCAGCTATGAAAGTGTGTGTCCCAGGAAATGTAATTACAAACATGCCTGGATGGAGACAGAGGGGAGGAAAAAACGGGAGCTTACAAAGAACCAGGATAGCAGATGAACTGCTCTACAAAAGGGAAGAACAGGAGTTAATTTTTTTGTCTCAAAACATTGCCATTTGCCCTAATTCAGTCCAGTTTTGAGTGACCTGGGTGTATTGCCATTAACAACCTGATGAGATTGATTTGGGCAGACTCAGACAGGGATGAAGTTGTGCCCTAAGAAAGCACAGCCTGTCAGAGAGTATTGCAGTCCTTTAAAGACTTGGTAAATGTCCTTTGTTTTACACCCAAAAGCTCTGAGAAGCACAAGGCTTAATGTACTGACAGGTAGTTCATTTTCAATCTATAGAGGACTCTTCTTTAGCAGCACTTCCTTGACTACTTGTTTGGGGTTCCCTCACTTATGACAAATACAGATATCTGCTGGTTTGTGAGATTTCTGTGCTGGCACAACATTTGGAGCAGTGGGATCTCTGGCTGTGCCTGAGGCTCTGTGGTGCTCTCATTACATAGATAGTAAAATAATAATGTCTAGCAATGTCACTTTCCAGAAACCTTTTTGTCATTGACTCCATTGGTCAGGGACTGTAGTAGTTGAGCACACTGGATTTAGGAGGGGTGTGTTTGTGCTGCAAACCAAGGGTACAAGCAGCTTCAATGAATGCTCCTGTGAGATTTTGGAGTAAATTGACACAGCCATGAGCTTCTGGCACAGCAGTGCTCAGTCCAGGCTGTGATGGTCATTTACATCATGAGCCCTCCCTGAGCTCTCCAGTGCCAGCAGCAAATTTAAAGGGGATTTGTGCATCTCCAAGAGCTGGAGGCAGCCTCAGCTTGGATGGCTGGGGTACCTCTGCAGTACAGAATCTGGGGAGACCCATCACTGTGCCCGGTGCCTCTGGTGACCTGGCAGCTCGGACTAGGGCAGTGGTAGAAGAACAAGTGCAGATTCTGTCTTTGCATTGGTGAATTTTTTCTGCTGTGCCAGTGATGATCAGGGTACTCATGCAAACATTTCGTGTGTTGCATAAATTATGACTTTGAGTGGAATTGATGACACCCATGCTTTTCACTGCCAATAAATACACATTAAGCTGTTATCTTGGAAATGATGAGGTATTTATGCCAGTCCCCCTGCTGCTGCAGGGACAATGGTTGTTACATCTTATATTCCAGTGTTTTGTGCTTTTTCTTTTCTGAACTTTTCAACTGAATGGGTCTTCTTCAGCTTCCCCTTGGAGATTCACCCAAATCTGAGCAGATTTTGCTTTTAGGACATTTGATACTCAGCCTAAATGGGTCTTTTCTTCATTTCCTCTTTCCCTGAGTTGTTTTTTGCAATAATAATAAAAAAATTGAACTCCCTGAGTGACTCTTCTCTTGATTCCCGTTCAGCCAAATTGCTTTCAAAGAGAGATACAGAGTATCCTGCTGGCAAAGATGTTTTCTTTCACACTCCTGTGCAGCTCTCAGTTATTATGCAGATTGGGAAGTGCCTTTGACATTGATAATAAATGTGATTCTGATACATTGCATGGTTTACCTGCTGTTTTAGTAGACAGGTAAATTAAAGGGTAATGCTAAATGCTCTCTTTAAGGGAATGTATTTTTGCACTAGTCTGCTAGAATCCTTATGGAAAAGACAAAAACAATATAAGAAATTTCCCTGGAAAATGAGAGTCTTATAAAAACACTTGAAGGCAAAGGTGTCTTAAGAATAAAGGGGGAGCATGAAATTGAACTTAGGTCAAGTAAGGGGGATTTGGTGTGTTGAAAAAGTGCCAATTCTCATGAGGAGAAAAGGTTAAAAAATCGAGTATGCCTAAGCTAAGTGTGAAGTATTTTTAGTATATTAGTATGTTAAATCAGGATATTAGGTACTGAGCTAAGCAGTGTGGGAAGCAAGGTGAAATTCTGTATTTGCATGTAAAGGATGGAGAGGAGATGTGTCAGTCCTGGAAAGGTGTAACATAAGCCAGCATGCCTGTCACACATGGCAGGAGTGACAGGGATGTGCTGGCAGGAACCTGGATATCTGAAACACCTGAATATCTGAATATCCTGTGCTGTAAGTGAGCTGGACCTGCTTGGGAAGAGGTTTGGAGTCACTGCAGAAGGCTCTGTGGAGGCAGCGCATGTGCAGGTGGTGAAGCAGTTTGGGTGGGTGATTAAAAGGAAAAGAAAAGAATAAAACCTGTCAGAGGGGTTGTGTGCCCTGTCATTAGCACTCAGGAACCGTGAATGCTGTGTTTGTTCTGCAGCTGGTTAATGAGCACACAGTGATCACAGCAGAGGGTGGGGCTGTCTTGGTAAGGAGGGAGTGACTTAACAGAGCAAGAAAAAGAAGAATTATCCCATGCGTTAATGCATGGGATAGAGAAAATTAATGAGATGCAAATCTATGGGATAAGGTAGAAATAAAAATTACTTTTGTGCACTTGAAAGGCTAAATGTTTTTATTATTAAAAGATAATAATTTTTTACTTTTATGTAACCATAGACAACCTTTGGGTTGATCAAATACAACTATTTGATTTCTGTTGGCTTTAAAATCTTTGAAGGCATTAGCTCATTTAGGAAGGAATTCTCCTTCTAAGTTGATTTCCTTGCTGCCCCTTATTGGTACTCTTGTCCATTTCTCTAAAGCATCTGCCATTTTGGCAACAGAGCAGGTGCTACCTATACCAGCTTCTGGAATGATCCAATGTTGTATTCCCTAATTTCTAACCACCTTGAGAGATGTTAGACACAATCTATGAATGATTCATAGTCAGCAGAAAAGGCTGGGGAAAGGTTCCTGCACAGACCATTTTATTTCTTTCACGTCTTGCTACACGGATTGTGTCTTTGTGGGGGAAAGAGAAATGTACAGCTCCCATTTTCCATGGTGATGAAGGGTCATAAAGATGAGGAAGGAGGAGCAAAAACCAGGCTACAAAACTGCTGACAGTGAAGCTGATGGACTGGAAACACGTGCACAAAAGGTGAGGAGACAGATGCTGAAACACAGGTACCACAGCAAAGAGCACAGGAGCAGAGCAAGGTGGAGGGAAGCACAGGGAGATTGGTGAGGTGTCAGAAATGAAAACCTGGCAAGGAAGACAGATGCTGGCATAAAAACTGGATAGTGAGCCATGGCTGTAATGATTCAAGGGTAGGAGATTTAGTCATAGTGGAAACTGCTGTAACAGACCATAAACTCAAAACAGTAGTAGCCATTAAACCAACACAAGATTGCATTTCTTCCACCATCAAATATCACTGGATCATTCAGGGTGAGATTTATCATTTATAA